TGCGCCATTCCCAAGACCCCACCCCCCGCTGCATTAGCCAGTGCCCCAGTGCTATGGCACCTCCCTGTGGTCCCCAGCGGGCATCTGGGGAGCAGCAGCTTGGCCCATTCCCGCAGAGCCCATTCCCTTTCCAAAAATGAGAAGAGCGGCTCCAGATTTAATCTGGAGTCTTTGAAATCCCAGACCTGCTGCTGGCATCATCCTCTCCCCTCCACTTCGACGCTTCCCCAGGGGCGCAGGGAAAACCTGCTTTTCTAGAGCCATGGAGCCAGTTCCACACCCAGCTCCCAGTGCAGGAGCCAGCAGGATTGTTACCACAGCCTTGGTTCTTACTGGTGATCCTGAGCGCAGGGCGCCCGCTCTGCTCCTCGGTTGGGTGACTGTGGCCATGCAGGGGGGGGGGCACCTGCTTGGGAGGGTGCTGTGACCATTCCCAGCAGTAACAGCCCCATCTCACTTGGCCATAAGCATGGGGATTGAAGCTGTCTGGGACAACAATCACAGTGTTGCTCTGGGATGGATGGAGCAACCCCTCTGAGGCACCTCTCCCTGGGGATGCTCCGCATGCAAAGACAGAGGCACTCTCCCTACAGGGTTAATAACCCTTAGTTTTGAGCAACTGGTTTCAATTTGGGTAGCATTAGAGCAGCTGGGACAACGCTACCAGGGAGAGTGGGGCTGCGGGGGGCAGCCGGGGTGCTAAGCTCCCCCCGCCAGGGGATGCTGAGCCTCATGGGGATGGCTGGAGCGGGCACGGGCGGGACGAGCGGTGCCAGGAGCCACGCTCAGACCTTCGAGGCATTTCACAAACCACGCGTCAGCTCCTGCTCCCCTCTGGAAGTGACTCACGAGTGCAAAACAACAACAACAGAGAGACAGAAACCACGCTGCCGTGTAAACACCCCGAAAGCATTACTCACAGCAGCCCTGAGCCCTTCAAGAAGGGTCTCTTGGACAAGAAAAGAAGTACGGTTTAGATTTAGGAAAGAAAAACGCCGTTTGACCAGGGGCTGGGACGGGCTTGTCTCTTTTCAAGTCAATCTTTGCCAGAGGAAGCACAGCTTCCGAGCTGTGCCGTACCCTATCCCGAAGCTGGAAACAGATGGGCCCAGTACAGCCCCCTCTGCGCCGTGCTGGGACAGGCACGGCCCCACGCAGTGGATCC